TATGTACATATATTTCTCTTAACGTCATTATCAATATGAATATTCCGTGCCAACATGTTTGTTACATCAGGTCAAATATAGGACATCATACATTTACCACTATATAACAACGGCAGCAATAACTTCTAACAAAGAGAAGGAAAAGTACTAAGAGAAACATACAAATTCAAGCTAGCAATTGTTACGTTTATACAAAACAACAAAAATATCCTCTTACTTGTGCACAAAAGCCGCAAAAACAAAATGAACTAGAAATGTCAAAGGATTCTTCCTGTTGCCCTTCACTTCAAGTTTGCGTTGTGACGTAAGGGGAACTTTTGTTGTCAACATGTTCTTGAACACACAAATCTGGCCACATTCTAGAAAGTACAATAAACGGAAGCCTACACAATGTACAAGTAGGGAGGTGAATGTGGAAGTGGAAGTGGGCATGTGGAATATAGGATACACAAACAGAAAGGCGGCGATGAGTTGTTAGGGAAAATCAGCTCCAGGCCATAACTTATATCAGTGTTTCCAAGAAGAGTAATTTTTTTTTGTTTGCTTTTTGCTTTTAATTTTTCTCAAATAGCTCATTTTATTTTATAATTTGTGTGATGTTCGTGGAATCTAATTATTCTAAAAGAAATTAAATGCATGGCTGACATGTTGCTATGGGAAATTGAACTCAGAGTCTTTTTTAATTTAAGGCATTGGAAAACATCAAGGCGTCACCGAGTTCATTGGGTCCTGTTGTTTATGGGAGCAGAAGATTCAATATGAAATGAATTCAGTGCTAAATTCGTTGGGCATTGACAGAATATAAAGCAATTTAAAGAGAATTGAACAGACTTTTTGCAGACAACATTTTATGGTATATATTAATGTTAATTCCATTTCAATTGAGGAAATAAATGAGAGAAGCTCTAACTTATTAAGAATGATTATTGCTTGTTTGCGTTTGGTTTCATCTGGCCGGGAAATGATAATTGAAACATTAAATTTTCCGGAGAAAAATCTCGAAAGGGGAATTTCTAAAAGTAAATAGCCCATATATTATCCATATTACAACTCCATTTCAATCAAGAAAGCAATGGATAACAAGTATAACCTCCACCATGAAAAATTTTAACTGTATTCAAATTGGATGGATTGAATGATCAAAGATACACTTTATTACTAAACAAGTAAAAAAGCTGTATATTCGGTCGGGCCGAACTTTGAATACCATCCACCATTTGCAACGAATTTGGCAATTTTCAAAAAATTATATTCGTAAAAATTTTGTTAAAATCTTCAGAATACCGGATTTACCTGCATAGGCAACTTTTGTCTTAAGCCATTACAATATTCAAATGCGAAACTTGAAAATAAAATTCGGTGAATAATGTAGTTAAAATCATCAAAATACCGAATATAAGGAGGTACCCTTATATGGGGGTTGTACGAAGACTAGGACCTGCACAGACAATTTTCAGTCATAGGCTGTAGTATCCATTACGAACTTCAAATTTGAAATTTAAAACAATTCCGGTGAATAAATTCGCTAAAATCATCGAAGTATCGGAAGGTACCATTATATGGGGGCTATACCAAAACGTGGACCTGCAGAGACAATTTTCTGTCTTAGGCTGTAGTATCCATGACGAACTTCAGATACCAAATTTGAAACATTTCCGGTGAATAATGTCGCTTAAATCACCAAAATACCGAAAATGGGGAGGTTTTCAATACCAAATGTCCTGCAGACATGATATACATTTGAGTAAAATTTTATCAATCTTCTTCATTTTGTTCGGAAGCTAGAGTGATTTCCACAGACGGATAGACGGACAGACGGACGGATATCTCTAAATCGACATAGAATTTTATGCTGATTATATACCATCCATATTATGGTGGAGGGTATAAAAATTGTATGTTTCGGAGATAGTTTTCTATCAGTTACAAACACACAATACCAAATTGAAGCCTTTTTTTAAATGTGGCTTGGCTTTAAAAATGCTTTAAAAAATGCCAATAACACCTCGACCCAAAATGAATATTTAATTTTTATTCTTACAATAAAGATTTCATGTGAAAAATGTGATCTTGACCTTCAATAAACTTAAAATTAGCCGGTACCGCTTATAGGACTTCTATGAAAAAGTGAACCAATATTGAACAGTTTCATTGGGCGAACTTCCATTCTCCAAGAGTATAAATAACAAATTTAAGTCAATACAGAAACAAATTGGGACTGAAACCTTTAAAATCAGGAGGTGCCGTTAATTGGGAGCTAAAGGAAAAAGTGAACCGATATACAGAGTTTTCAATATCAAACGTCTTAAGAGTAGTAACCTTGTCACGAATAAAGGTGTCATAAACGGAATCACAAAATTCCTATCTTATAGTGAAGTGAATATGAAGAAGTTTTCTGATTCTTAGCGTGGTCGCACGATTACATATGATGGTCAATTAAGGTCAATAAACCCGAAATTATCTTAAAAGTGGTCAGTTGAAAATGGCTCAATGAAAGAAAATTCGGCTTAAACGATGAAATTGTTGATCAGTAATTTATTTTTCATGGCCCTTGTGAAATCCCCATTACATTGTGCAACAAACTATCTGAAGGGTGGGAAAATCTGAGGTGATAGTATTTGGTTAATAGACCGAAATACAAAAAGGGGTTTTGTGTCTCTAGCATTTTTTTTGGGCCCATTATAAATTTATAGTGAGGCATATACATAGGCCTTCAAATATTTTATTGTATGCTTTGCAAAATTTTAGATAGCGCTTTTAAATTTGATACAGGCCTATGGGTCATATCGGTCCAAGTTTTGGTGTAGCGCCCATATGAATGTATATATTTATTTCAACTTTTTTTACATTTTAACCATATTTTTTATACAAATTTCGGCGATTTGAGTTCATGAGTTTGAATTCTAAATAAAAAGTAATCATCCTTGCAAAAAATTATCAATATTAACGCACGTTTTGTTATAACCCTCATATGAAGGTCTTGGTCTTGGCCACAAAAAATGGGGCCTTGGCCACACGAAACAAAACACGAAAACAAAAAACGATTCTACATGTAAGCTAAAGGCCTCTATCAAATTTTGAAGTCTTTTGGGATGTCTTTGTGCATTTATTTGTAATATTCAGAAGGAGACAAAATAGACCTATAGTTCCATAGAATCACACTCTGAGTCCGTCCGGCTGCCATGTATTTTTGTAAGCAAAGTACAGGTCACATTTATTGTCCTATTTCACGTTAATCGTACAATATGTATAACATCAGCCTCTATTAAATGGATTTTGACACACACGACCGTATCTAGTATAGAAGCAAGTATGTCAAATTTGATGTAAATAGGTGATCAGATATAACTATAGTTACCATATATTCACTCCATAACAATGATCGTCAAATTTGATGGAATTATTTCGACAATCTTTGATTATTATTTCGACCATCTTTGATTTTTATACACTCCACCATAGTATGGAGGGTATATTAAGTTTGTCATTCCGTTTGTAACACCTCGAAACATACATTTTAGACCCCACAAAGTACATTTATTCTTCATCAGCATAAAATTCTATGTCGATTTGGTAATGTCCGTCCGTCTGTCCGTCTGTGGAAATCACTCTAGCTTCCGAACGAAATGAAGTAGGTTGATAAAATTTTACTCAAATGTATATTATGTCTGCGTTTTGGTATAGCCCCCATATAATGGTACCTTCCTATTTTCGGTATTTTGATGATTTTAGCGACATTATTCACCGGAAATGTTTCAAATTTGGTATTTAAAGCTCATACTGGATACTGCAGCCTAAGACAGAAAATTGTCTGTGCAGGTCCACGTCTTCGTATAGCCCCCATATAACGGTACCTCTCGATATTCAGTATTTTCATGATTTTAGCGACATTATTCACTGGAATTGTTTCAAATTTGGTATTTGAAGTTCGTAATGGATACTACAGCCTATGACAGAAAATTGTCTGCGCAGGTCCACGTTTTGGTATAGCACCCATATAAAGGTATCTCCCTATATTCGGAATTTTGATGAATTTGGCTACCTTATTCACCGATTTTTTTTTCAAATTTCGCATTTGAATATTGTAATGGTTTATACACATACAACTTCATTCGGTATTTTTAGATTTTAACAGAATTTTTAACGGAATTTATTTTTTTTTTTTTTTGAAAATTGCCAAATTCGTTCCAAATGGTGAAGGGTATTCAAAGTTCGGCCTGACAGGACTTTCAGCTTTTTTACTTGTTAATTACTATTGAATTAATAAAATTTACTCATAGAATTTCTCTCGATCTGGATTAAACCTAATTATTTCAATGAAAATCTATAAAGATTAAGATGTTGTCTTTTCTTTACTGGTTTTTGGTATGTATATTCAGTTATTCATTTTTATCAAAGAAGTGATAATATAGAAGTGATTATAAAGAATAGAAGAAGTGTATCTATAATTATAAGCGTGAGTGTGATAAATAGTATGAGGAGAGCGGGTGACAGGGTTGACATAGAAATAGCTATGTATGCGGTTGACGAGATTGTTGTAAGAACAACAACAACAACAAAAGCAACAACTACGACGCAATTAAAATATAGTGTGCGTTCTACTCCACGCCATCGAACTTTAATCCATCCAACCAGTCACACTTGAATCCATAACGAGCGCACTTATATTTTATGTTCTTCTTTTTTTGTTTATTTTCATTTATTATTATTTCATTTCTTTCAATTTCAATAAAAGATATGACACTCTCGTTTTTACGATAGGGAAATGGGGAACAGACACACACAATTAATACTCGTTTCTTTTATTTTTTGGTGATAAGGCATAATGCGAAATAAAACGTGATTTTTTGTTGTTTTGTTTAAAAGCATCTGGCGTACCCGATAGTTTGTTTGAATTGTTGTTTTTTAATATTTTTGTTGTTGTTTTCTATCTACAAAAATGAGTTTTTTACAACAAAAAGGTTAAAAATGTATTCGAACGCCGCTGTTCACTCACTCACATTCAACAAGATAGTGTGGGGGCCAAACAAAACCAAAAAAAAATATGGGAAATAGATATGTTGGCGCGAGCACCAACCAAGCAAGCAAGCAACCACCACGACGCGAACGAACGAGCAAACAACGGTAATAACAAGCGAAGCGTCTGAACAACGACCGACCTGTTTGATTTCTCACGCTCAACTAAATTTTTGAATAGCTATTCGGCAAACGACAAGGCAGCCCCCAACGAGGAGCGTTAATGTGTCTCTCAACTTCTCTCTTTGTGCTCGAGTTTGCTATTTTGCCATGATTGGGGTGGCCAGAGTTGTGATTTCAAAAATGAAATAGATAAAGACAAATATTCGGAGCTCTCGTATGTACTCAAATTAATTTCAAATATTTTTGTAAAAAAAAAAAGAAATTGTCAATGAAAATCGAAGAAAATCTATTTTTTGGGTTTTAACATATCGATATTAGAAGACACCTTCAATTCCGTCAGTTGATAAGAAGCTTCTGAACCTCGAGAAGAAACTGTCTGAACTTGAAGTCAAAGGTGTTCCTGTTAGGGCTATTGAAAACGCGTTAAAAACCATTCAAAGCCTGACAAAGGCAGTCAGTGACACAGAGCCTAGGAAATAATGCCATACAGCCTTGCACAAATGTTTCCTTTGAGGTTTGAGTGAGGGGCATTTGCCCAGTATTGGCGCTCTCGTGATGATAGGTATTCAAAACCATTTCACACAAAAGTTGTGGTCCATTTTTACCACCATCCATGGATCTCTGCCCTGTTCTAAATTCTAACCTTATACTAAATTCCGTGTTGATTGGTTTTTAAATGTGACCAGTAGACCGACTCCAAAATCAGGAAAATTTTAATTTTTGTCCATTTTAAACCCTAAATATTTTGCACACATCTTCAGAACATTAAATTGTAAATTAAAAATCCATGCGACAAAAAATTTGACAAAAAACGGTTGAGTTCGGCCAGGACGAAGTATTTATACCCTCCACCATTTGGAAGAAACTTGAAAATTTTCAAAAAATCCGTTGAAAAATACCGCTCAAATGAAAACCATTATATGGGGGTTATACGAAGACGTGGTCCTGCATATACAATTTTTCTCATAGGCTGTAGTAACGGAACTTCAAATACAAATTTGGAAATAATTTCTGTGAATAATGTCGCAAAAATCATGAAAATATCGATTATCTGGGGGACCTATGCAGACAATTCTCATAAAGAACCCCTTGATTTTAAGATAATTCCATTAAAAATGATGCCTGAAATTATCAAAATACCGAATATCTGGAGTTACCGTTATATGGGGGCTATACGATATCGTGGATCTATATATACAATTATCTTTTAGGGAATAAAGTACTCACAAGAAAATCCTTGTATGGATTTTCAGACAATTCCGTTGAAAATGTGGCTGAAATCATCAAAATACCGAATATCGGTAGGAACCCTATATAACACAGGGGACAAACGATGGATCTATTAAACAATTCTCTCAATGTACTCACAAGGAACTCCTTTCGTAGTTTTTAAGACAATTCCATTGAAAAATTTAGATGAAATCATCAAAATACCGAATATCGGGAGGAATAGTTATATAGGGGATATATGATATCTTGGATCTATATAGACAATTATCTTCCATTAATATTTTTTAGTACTTTTCGAACAGACATGTTAACATTTGCAAAACTGCCTCCATTTCTTAACTACAAGCACAAAGAGTGCCATCTATATAAAGTTTCAGGATTTCAGTCCAATCCCTTCAACCTTAGTACCATTTAGTACAGTTCGCACACTTAGTGCACATTTCCAAAACCAGCTTCATGTATCAAACTTACTTTCCAATCTTGATTCTAATACTAAATTACAAGTTTTTAGCTCTATCTATTCACAAAGAATCAAATGATAACATTTCTGAAGCTTAATATCATTTTAGAACTTTTCGTAACCTTAAGGATGTCCAGTTAAAAGTATTAAATTTTTAGTAGATTTTAGTACTTTTCATATCGTTTTAGTATCCAAAACCCTGCCTTAACTGACACTTTGGGACCAAAATTTCATTATTTTAGTTGCAGCCCTTTAGTCTAGACGTTGATGAATCATTAAGTCAGTTAGTCAATCACTTTACCCTCTACTTCGTATACGGAATAAGGATTTATATTAAGAGAAATGTTTACCCCAAATTTCCAAAACTACCTCATCTCATACCTCATCCCAATGAAATCCAATAGAAATCTAAATTTCACAATTTCAGGATTACAGCCCTATAGGTTCAAATCAAAATTGTCCTAAATTTAAAAAGTAAGAAATTTATTACTTTAGTACACATAAGTAAAAAATTTCCAAAACTACGTACATACCTCAGTCCTACAATGCAATAGTAATCTTATTTCCAAATTTGAGCATTTTAACTCTATCGGTTCACCTAAATCTAAATTGTACCAAATTTAGTACCATCTAGAACTTTCCGTGCACAAGAGTACAAATTTCGGAAACTATCTCCATACCCCAATCCAACTACCACCAATTTCAAATTTCAGCATCCCAATTCTATTGGTTTTCCAAAATCGAATTTGTACCAAATTTGATACGTTTAGTAATTTTCTTTTATAAGAGTACACACTTCCAAAACTATCTCCTTACGTCGTCCCTACTTCAATTTTACCTTTTCATTGTACCACGGTAATAACATGTATGCCACACTGTATAGTAAAAATGCAATTTTTTTAATTTTTCCCATTCGAAAAGTAAACAGCAGAATTAGAAAATTCGAGCGTTATCGAGCATAGCAGAGTCTGCCTGCTGTTGGATGGTCTACAGGGTGAGATAAAAAACTGCAACAAAGTAAAACGCCATAATTTTTACTATTTTTTTTTTACATTATATTTAATGAAAGCAAAAAGCGCTTGCTTGAGGTGATCCACACTTTGGTCTTTTTAGTGCCAACATTGCGTTCCAAAATACTCCAGACTCAAAAGTCCAACGGATTGGTATCCGAAGATTTATTGACCATTGTGCGCTGGAAATGAAGCGAGGAACCTCATTTTGTAACCATTCTTGGGTGGCGCGTGCTGAGTGAGTTGCATGCCCAAGGCTTTAATAACCCCTCCAAAATAACTTCGCGATAATATTCGGCATTTAATGCCACGGTCGATTAATACGTGCAGAGAGCGACCATCTTCTGCTATGGCGGCCCACGCCATCACCATGGCCGGCGCTTGAGTTCTGGTGACCAACCGAAGGAGCACATTTTCAGATGACCACTTTGGCAAGTTAACGATCGTTTTGTTTGTTTACAAACTGCTGGACAACGAATGTTTTCTCATCGGAGAAAACCAAATTCGGCAGTTCACCACTTTCGGCCAAGCGAAGCAATTCTTTAGTTGTTTGTAGTCTATTTTCTTTCTGTTTTGGAATTTCAATGGTTTTACCCCGGACTCATTTGTCAATATTTGTCGAATGGAATATTGTAATATGTTCAGCTCACGAGCCATTGTTGGGCCACTGCGACGCGGGTTTCGATCAAGTCGCTTCTCTACTTTTCGAATCATTTCTGCTGATATTGCTGTTTTCGTCCGTCCAATTCCTTGAGGTCGGGCTCCGCTACCAGCATCACGGTAACGAGCGATGGTTCGAGACACAAAAGAAATGCTGGAGTGCTCTAACGATAGCCACTTGTGATTTTCCAGCCAAATATAAAGAAATCACACTATCACGCTTGAATTCCATCACGAATAACTTTTTTCTGGAAAACTCCCACCAAAATGCTTTTGTACGCTTGTAAACAATATAATGAGCTGTCACTGGAATAATTTTCATCTCACTGGAATAATTTTCATCTCATCTATATGGCTAGATGGAACCAGCAAGTTGTCTTAACATCATATTATTACAATGTAGAACAGAAACCTGTATGGTAATAGGTATTTATACAAGACATCTTGGTCTACAAACATATTATTCCAAAAAAAGAGGATTGAAAGAAAACTTGAAATTTCAATTCAGGTTACATGACATTCTAACCACGTTAATAATTTCTGGGAAAAGGATTTACTCAATGTAACCACCGCTCTTCTTAGACGCACAAGACGCCGTTGCTTGTATGTTTTGTATTTTGATGGTTTTCGCCACATTTTTATATGGATTTGTCTAAAAATTTGTTTTTGTAGACCTAATGGGTTATAGCTCCGGTGGCGAAACGTTATATGTATAGGTCCACGATTTTGTATAGCCTCCATATAACTGTACCTCTCGGTATTCGGTATTTTGATGATTTTTGCCACATTTTTCCACGGATTTGTCTAAAAATTGGTATTTGTAGTTCGTAATGGTATCTAGCTCCGGTACCAGAACATTAAAAATTAAAGTCCACGTCTTCCCATAGTGCACATACAACGATACCCACCGATTGTTGGTATTTTGATAATCCTAGTCACATTTACCCACAAAACCGTTTCAAATTTGTTATTTAAGAAGGTTCCCGTTTTGGTAAGGCCCCCCCATATAACCGGCTCGCCCACTTTATGTTTTTTTTTTTTTTTTGAAAAGTTTAATAGCATTATCCAAACGGCCTTACTGGTATTTGTTTGAATTCAGATAATTTTATGTTAAATTTTTTTTACCCAATGGTTGAGGGTATTAATTTTTTTACTTGTTATTTTATAGCATCGTTCAATTTCTAATTTTGAATCGTTTTAATTTATTTATTTATCTATTTCATTTTCTTTGCAAAATTTTCATGTAAATGCTATTCGTATAATTTTATTCGAATGTTACAAAAATATTTCCTTATAACTACCATCATAACTATTTAGATTTATTATGTTTCTATGTATGTATAGTATGTACTATAAAGTACCAAAATATACGCCTACTTGGCGTTTCGACAAATGTGTTTGCTGCTTCGTTTGTTTCGTATTATTCATTACAAAAATACGTTAGAACCGTTCAAATCGAAATGATTTTAACTAACGGTCATCCGATGAACAACGTTTGTATTCCTTTCGCCGATTTCGAAAGGAATGTTACCAAAAAATAGTTTACCAATTATAATAATTGGTTCAGGCCAATGTTTTTACGAAGATTCCGAGGAAGAGGTATCCGAAGAATCACTGCTGGAAGATGAAGTGGAGTCACGCCTGCGTCGTTTCGATTTAGACTTCTTCTCATTGATAACTTCGTAACTTGGCAAAGTGGAGTTACTGGAATCGCTAGTACTGCCGGAACTATTTGACTCCTCAATAACAGCATCAACTCGCTTGGATTTCCTTAAAAAAGTAAAAATTAATAAATAAAAATATTCTACAAAAATATAAAGTCAGTAGTTCGTACTTCTTTTCCGACTTATCCGATTTTTTACTATGCTTAGATTTGCGGGCCTCCACCACATCGCTGCTGCAGGGCGATTTACTGCGGTCGCGTTTGCTCTTCTTGGCCTTTTTGTCTTTGTGTCTGGCTCCCTTGTCTGGATCACCTTTGGTGGAATAAAGATTTTGTGAACTGGCTGTCGAATAGCCCGTATCTTTACGCTTACGTTTTTTGGTTCTGTAAAAGCAAATATCAATGAAAATTCAATCTCAAATTATTGAAACTGTGATATAAAGTGTAGGAAATTTGGAACCTACTTGTCCTTCTTCGCTTTCTTCTTATAAACAACCTCATCGTCAGAATATTCCTTGGCTCTGCAATGAAATGAATTAAAAATAAAACAGTGTTAAGCAATGTTTCTTTTTATACCCTCCACCATACATAGTATAAAGGGTATATAAAGTTGGTCATTCCGTTTGTAACTCATCGAAATAATAATTTTAGACCCAACAAAGTATAAACAAAAATTTTGCACAGATCAGTATTTTGTGTGCAGGTAGGTCAAGTTTGAAGATGGGCTATATCGGTCCACGATATCGAATGGCCTCCATATAACGGTACCTCCCGATATTAGGTATTTTGATGATTTTAGGCTACTTTTTCGATTCTACACAAGGAGTTCTCTATTAGTACTTAACCCCCTGAAAGAAAATAATCTATATCGGTCTACGATATTGTATATCCCCCCATATAACTGTACCTTCCGATATAAGGTATTTTGATGATTTTGAAACATTTTTCAATGGAATTGGCTTAAAATCCACCTGAAAGAGAATTGTCCATATAGGATCACGATATCGTATATCCCCCATATAACTATACCTCCCAACATTCGGTATTTTGATGATTTAAGTCACATTTTTCAATGACATTGTCTGAAATTCTACATAATGAGTTCTCTGTGAGTACTTTATCCCCTGAGAGGGATTTTTCTATGTATCGATATCGTATAGCCTCCATACAATTGTATCCCCCGATATTCTATATTTTTATGATTTGTGAAAACCTTAACCCCTAAAAGGGATTTGTCTATATAGGTCCACAATATCGTATAGCCCCCATATAACGGTACCCCCGATATTCGGGATTTTAGTGATTTAATCACATTTCCCAATGGAATTATCTGAAAATTCACACAAGGAGTTCCTTGTGAGTACTTTACCCCCAGACATAGATTTGTCTATATAGGTCCACGATATCGTATATCCCCCCATATATCGGCACCGTCCGATATTAGGTATTTTAAAGATTTTAACAGAATTTTCAAGGTTTTTTTTTTTTTTGAAAATTTTCTAATTCGTTCCAAATGGTGAAGGGTATTCAAAGTTCGGCTCGGCCGAACCTACTGCATTTTTACTTGTTCAAATTCCCTCCGCATGTTTGGGTGTATAAACGATTTTAGTCACATTTTACTACCGATATTTTGTATTTTGATGATTCTAATCATATTATACCCATGGTACAATGATATCAAGGTAGGGCTATGATACCATATGATTTTAATTTTTTTATTTTCTTGGCTTAATATGTCATCTTTATTTGTTTATGTATGTGTTTTCTTTTCAATAACAAAAACATTGTTATATTCAAATATTCGGGTGTTTTCAAAATGTTTATTTCATTGTATGCATCGACAAAATCTAGAGTTTTTGTAGCGAAATAATCCTTTACAGATATATAGAACATGGTTTTGAAAAGAAGTCTTGGACTTTCATTCAGTTATCGCGGTTTTCAATTATTTATTCAAAATAAATGTAACAAGTTGTTTGATTTTTTATTGTTTTGACTCTAATTCTGACATTACAAGCCAAACAGGTAGACCTCTATACTTGCAATTTTTTCAAAGTTGACCTACCTTCTCTTCATTGTACCATGGGTATAATCATGCAAACTTGGACCTAAAATTTCAATGTTCTGCCACCGGAGCTAGAACCCATTATGAACTACAAATAACAATTTTTATACAAATTCGTGAAAAGATGTGCCAAAAATCATCAAAATACCGAATATCGGGAGGTACCAAATGACAATGTTAATATACCCTCCTTTTCAAGGTGGAAGGTATAAAAATAGGGGAATGAAATTGTTATTATTGTTTGTGAATTTCAATTTACAGATATAGATTGTTTGGTAGAATAATGAACCCAATTGAAATTGATGATAATCGAAGCTCCCACATATTTCCAAATCTTCTATTATCATAAATTTTATACCCTCCACCAAAAAAAGTATGGAGGGTATATTAAGTTCGTCATTCCGTTTCGAAATAATCATTTTAGACCCAACAAAGTATATATATTCTTGATCAGCGTAAAATTCTAAGTCGATTTAGCCCTGTCCGTCCGTCTGTCCGTCTGTTGTAATCACGCTACAGTCTAAACGAATTAAGATAGGAAGCTAAAATTTTGCACAGATCTCTCTTTTGTCGCCACATTTTTCAATGGAATTGTCTGAAAATCCACACAAGTAGTTCCTTGTGGGTACTTTATACCTCGGCAGAGAATTATCTATATAGCTCCACAATATCGTATAGCCCCCATATAACGGTACCCCACGGTATTCGGTATTTTGATGATTTTAGCCACATTTCCAATGGAATTGTTTGAAATTCCACAAAACGGGTCCCTTGTGGACATTTTACCTCAAAAAGAATTGTCTATATAGGTCCACGATATCGTATATCCCCCATATAACTGTACCCCCCGATATTCGGTATTTTGATGATGTTAGCCACATTTTTCAATGGAATTGTCTTAAAATCCACACAAGTAGTTCCTTGTGAGTACTTTACCTCCTGAGAGAGAATTGTCTATACAGGTCCACGATATCGTATATCCCCCATATAATGGTAACCCCCGATATTCGGTATTTTGATGATTTGACTCACATTTTTCATCGGAATTGTCTGAAAATCCCCACAAGGAGTTCCTTGTGGGTACTTTATACCTCGGCAGAGAATTATCTATATAGGTCCCCCATATCGTATAGCGTCCATATAACGGTACCCCCGATATTTTGTATTTTGATGATCTTATCCACATTTTTCAATGGAATTTTCTGAAATTCCACAAAAGGAGTCCCTTGTGGGCATTTTACCCCCTCAAAAAGAATTGTCTATATAGGTCCACGATATCGTATATCCCCCATATAACTGTACCCCCCGATATTCAGTATTTTTATGATGTTAGCCACACTTTTCAATAGAATTGTCTTTAACTCCACACAAGTAGTTCCTTGTGAGTACTTCACCCCCTGAGAGAGAATTGTCTATACAGGTCCACGATATCGTATATCCCCCATATAACGGTACCCCCCGATATTCGATATTTTTATGATTTTACCCACATTTTTCATCGGAATTGTCTGAAAATCCACACAAGTAGTTCCTTGTGGGTACTTTATACCTCGGCAGAGAATTATCTATAAAGGTCCACGATATCGTATAGCCCTCATATCACGGTACCCCCGGTATTCGGTATTTTGATGTTTTTAGCCATATTTTTCAACACAATGGTAACAAGGGGTTCTTTGTACACAAGGGGTTCTTTGTGAGCACTTTACCCACCGACAGAGAATTCTCTATATAATTTAACGATAACGTATAGCTCCCATATAACGATACCCCGCGATATTCGGTATTTTGATGATTTTAGACACATCTACCAATCGTATTGTCTGAAAATCCACACACGGAGTTCTTTGTGAGCACTTTACCGCTGAAACGGAATTGTCTATATAGGTCCACAATATCGTATATCCCCCATATAACGGTACTCCCCTATATTCGGTATTTTGATGATTTTAGCCACTTTTTCCAATGGAATTATCTGAAAATCCACACAAGGAGTCTTTCTTTGTCTTTATAGGTCCACAATATCGTATATCCCCCCATATCGGTACCTTCCTATATTAGATATTTTAAAGATTTTAAAAGAATTTTTAATGGATTTTATTGTTTTTGAAAATTTTCTAATTCGTTCCAAATGGTGGAGGGTATTCAAAGTTCGGCCCGGCCGAACTTACTGCTTTTTTACTTGTTTTCCACTGTGTTTTGCATTTGATACTTAAGACTCGCAATAAATAACCCTCCACCATAGTATGGAGGGTATATTAAGTCTGTCACTCCGTTTGTTACTAATCGGAATATACATTTTAGACCCCACAAGTTATATATATTCTTGATCAGCATAAAATTCTATGTCGATATAGCATTGTCCGCCCGTCTGTGGAAATCAAGCTTCCGAACGAAATTAAGTAGATTGATAAAATTGTGCTCAATTGTATATTAATCTGCAGAAATTTTGGTATTGAAAGTGGGCCATGTAGGTCCACGTTTTAGTATAGCCCCCTCCCTATTTTCTGTATTTTGGCGATTTAAGCGACATTATTCACCGGAAATGTTTCCAATTTGGTATTTGAAGTTCGTACTGCATACTACAGCCTATAACAGAAAATTGTCAGTGCAGGTTCACGTCTTCGTATAGGCTTAATATAATGGCACCTCCGAATATTCGGTATTTTGATGATTTTAGCAACACTTTTCACCGAAATCGCTTCAAATTTGGTATTTGAAGTTCGTAATGGATACTAAATCCTATGACAGAAAAGTGTCTGTGCAGGTCCACGTTTTGGTATAGCCCCCATATAATGATACCTCCCTATATTCAGTATTTTGATGATTTTATTTCAAGTTTCCCATTTGAATATTGTAATGGCTTATAACAAAAATTGCCTATGTAGGTCCACGTCTTCGTATAGACACTAATATAACGGCTATATTCGGTATTTTTAAGATTTTAAAATAATTTTTAATTGATTTTATTTTTCGTGAAAATTGCCAATTCGTTCATTCGGTGGAGGTATTCAAAGTTCGGTCCGGCCGAACTTACAACAAGTAAGAATTTTGTATTTTAAAATGGTGGAGAGTATTGAAAGCTACCTTAATATTTGTTTACATGTTAATATTTATAACCGCTACAACTTGCAAACATGTCATTGATTCTCTTTAAACTAAATATATATCAATGTTTCACTCAACCAGCGATTTGATGTGAATATGTGATTTTTTTGACCTCTCCTTCTGATACCTTCCCACAAGTTCTCAAAATATTGAAAAATTACATACGTATTAAACACAATACACAATCAACAAGTAAGATTCAATATGAAGTAATTAATAGAATATTTTCCGAACCAATTCCACAAACTAATTTTGAAGCCAATGAAATGGCCCTCCATAAATTACAACAAATATTTCGGATATGTCGCAAAACAAATTCAGATGAAATACATAATTCTAATTACTTTACGAACCTTTTGATTTTCCGTTTCATTTCACTACCACGCTCCGAGGAAATCATATAAATGCCATTGGGGTCATCGTCATTGCGCCGTTTCGATTTGTATTGGCGTTGTCTGGCTGCAGCCTTCATTTCACGACGATTCTTCCAAAATTCGGCATTTACAACATACAGACGATACAATTGTAAGACAATGACCAGGGAATTTTTGCCTAGAAAGATGTACAACACACATTACATAAAAACTTAAAAGAAAAAAATTCAATGGACAAAATGCTTACATGTAAAGAACACGTTCATATAGCTAATTATATCATATTGGAAGATAATGAGCAAACGGAATGTCAGAAAAGGGGCATCCTGGAGTATAACGTTAAGCACAATGCCCCAAACATCGATGCCGCAACAGCAGTTATTACAGCAATCTGTAGGAGGTCTAAATACAACAAACAATTTTAATAGTTTTCTTCGGAATGGACCGAGGACATCATCAAAAATACTTACTCATCCTTCTTATTGGAACCACCTCCACGGGGTCTACGTGCTCTTGTGGCTGATAACACAATTGTAAATTGTAATAAACTCCATGACCATATACCCAAAGTCAAATAGACCAACAAGGGTATTTTCGCTATGGAATCATCTTTGTAGGAATCGAAAAATTCTATAATATCGGCAGCGGTTCCTGCAAATAGAATCCATAATTTTAAGACATTTTCATTCATTCATTGTTTTCTTTATCGCTCACCTATATACACCAACAACAATTGACTTAACTGATCTCTAGTCAGATCTCCTTTGGGCAACATCCAACGCCCCACAATTAAAATTAACATCAAAAACTGTTCTATCAGCGTTATCCAGGTGTCTTCATTAACTTTCGGCACACCCAGGGCTTCAGTAATAATAACATTCGTCGTCGAGTTGCCCTCAATGCTTTTGCCCGATAATCGTCGTTCAACTTTGTGAAACTCCAAAAGCCAAATAGCTGGTACAATGCTTCCCAAATACAAAAAGACTGAGGGACAAAACCTGAAATTAAAAAAAAATTGCGTGAAAGTCTATATATAATACATATATCCTTACAGACTAATATAATTTACATATATACATATTAATTGTTATAGGAAGATAAATTTATTTAATTGCAATATTAATTTTCTTTTTACAACATCCACCATACATAGCATGGATGGTATATCAATGGTATAGTTTGAAAATCCACACAAGGAGTTCCTTCTGAGTACTTTACCCCCTGAAAGAGAATTGTCCATATAGGTCCACGATATCGAATAGCCCCCAAAAACTGTACCCCCCAATATTCACTATTTTGATGATTTTACCAAAATTTTTTACCAGAATTGTTTTAAATTTAGTTTTTAAAGTTCGTAAGCCTATGACAAATTCACGTGTTTGTATAGTCCCCATATAATGATACCTCCTGATATTCGGTATTTTGATAGTTTTAGGGAAAATATTAAAAGGAATTTTTCAAATTTCCTAAGTTCGAAGTGGCCCCCATAAAACGGTTTTCCTTTTAGCGGTATTTTTCGACGGATTTTTTTGGAAAATTTTCAAGCTCCTTCTAAATGGTAGAGGGTATCTAAAGTTCGGTCCGGCCGAACTTACATGCTTTTTTACTTGTTATAGTACTATTGTTTTCAGAAAGATCAATTATATTGCCTGAATGTTGTTCTGCGGTATTTTGGCCAATTCCCGGCGAAGCGGGGATTGGTATCCGGAGATTTTGGTGGCCATTGTGCGCTGGAAATGAAGCGAGGAACCTCACTTGTAATCAGTGCTGAGTCCTATTGAAATGTCCAAGGTCTTTCTGTTGCGGTGTACGTTCTTGCACTTTTTTGAATTACAATGGCTTTATCCCGAGCTCATTTTTCAATATTTGCCGAATGAAATATTACGATATGTTCAGCTCGCGAGCAATTTTTCGGCCACTGCGATGCGGGTTTCGATCAAGTCGCTTCTTTAACATTTCTGCTGATGTTGCTCTTTTCTTCCGTCCACTTCCTTGACGTCGGGCTACGCTACCAGTGTCACGGTAACGAGCGATGGTACGAGACACAAAAGATTTATTCACATTTAAATGCTGGATAGCCACTTGTGGTTTTCCAGCCAAATAAAAAGAAATCACATTCCATCACGAATAACTTCTTTCCTGCAAAATTTTCACCAAAATGCTTTTGTACGCTTGTAAACAATATAATGAGCTGTCACTGGAATAATTTTAACAGTTGTCGGACGTCGGACATGACAGCAGTCTGAAGTTGGTTGCAGTTTTTTCATCTCGGCCTGTATTAAGTATTTAATTGCAATATTAATTTTCTATTTATACCCTCCACACATTATACCTCATCGAAATAATAATTTTAGACCTACGTACAGCCACGAAATCGCATAGCCATGTAGCCCATATAACGGTACCCCCCCCGATATTCGGTATTTTGATGGTTTTAGCCACATTTTCAATGGGGTTACTTCTGAGTACTTTGTCCCTGGAAGAAAATTGTCTATATAAGTCCATGATATCGTATATCCCCATATAATGGTACCTTCCGATATTCAGTATTTTCAAGATTTTAGCCAAAATTTTCAATATAACTGTCTAAAAATCCACACAAGGAGTACCTTCTAACTACTTTTCCCGCTGTAAGAGAATTGTCTATATAGGTCCATGATATCGTATAGCCCCCATATAACGGTACCCCCAATATTCGCTATTTTGATAATTTTAGAGACATTTTTTAACGGAATTGTTTTAAGTTTGGTATTTAAAGTTCGTAATGGGTACTACAGCCTATGGCGGAAAATTCTCTAAGTAGGTTCAAGTCTTCATATAGCATCGTATATAAAGTCCACGATATCGTATATTCCCCATATAACGGCACCTCCCTAGTTTTGGTATTATGATGATATTAGCGACATTATTCATTTATTTACAGTTCGAAATGGAAACTTAAAAAATGTACATGTCCATTCGTATAGTTCCCATTTTGGAAAATTTTCAAGCTCCTTTGAAATAGGGGAATGTAATAAAAGTACGGCCCAGCAGAACTTAGTTTTTTTACTTGTTAAATTAAATTTGTTTTCAAAAAGATCAATTATATGGTAAAATGTATTGAATTGGACGACTATGCGACGTAGTGGATAATTATTTGCTTAGTTATACCTGCATGCCCTGCATATTATGTTATCTGCACATCGAATCTTGTACAAATGAGCTTCCGGGCCAGGTGGATGCATGTTACTCCACTAATCACTTTCTTGCCTAGTAATAAAAGATTCTTAGTTTAGTTTTGCTATATCGTTACCTCTAATCTCCGCATGACCTGGTACCCATATAACGCATGCTGAAATGTGTTGAGAATAGTAGAGAAGTGATTCAATTTATGCATTCCAATACAGTTTTTAATTTTACCGTCTTCAATTTTACTATCCGCAATCGCCAAAATTCAGAATATCGAGAAGTATCATATATGTGGGCTATTGGTAAATGTGGATCTGTCTGAGAGGTTGATGTTTTTTATATGGCGGCTATACGAATACAACTAAAAATTAAAAACTCCTTAAAACAGCTAATGAAACTATTAAGATCAAATACATAAAATCGCTGGTATGGTTAAATGGTGATGATGCAGACGGTTCAATAGTCCGTCTTGAATGCTTCGGTGGCGGCAAAGAAAGATTGTGAGAAGTACACTAATGCAGAAGGCGATCCGTACGACCCAAAACCGAAGTATGATCAATCTGCTCAACGGATGTCACCGGAGGACCTTAGAGCAGCGGTCATTGATAAGCAAAAATAATTGGCTAATGATGAACCGGAAGATCCGGTTAACCTACCAGCAATCTACAGGAGAGCCAGGCTTATTACCTGAGGCAATAGGGAATTGAATAGATTTTGTAAAGCAAAGTCGTCCCCGTTCCTGTTTCAAAGATGTTATGCGGAATTGTGGCTTCAGTGCATTCCTCATCCTGTAGGGAAGTTGAAGGAAATCCGGAAGTTGGTTGAGAAGCTGAATGCTGGTCTTACTACTAGCTTGCCCTAAATTTCTATACAACAAGATGGTTTTTAGAGTATCCACAGACAAGACCTGGGACACCTTCGGTTGAGAAGTATTCTCTTTTGTTTTCAACAACTCAAGCAGTTGAAGTTTGGCCTAAGTCTGGTGCAGATAAATTTTAATCATTGCAATGCCACGGCTACCGAACTCTAGCTAATTCTCCCGGCGTGAATACCAATATGGCCTTGGCCCAGGGACGCTATCTTTTCCTAAATAGGGTTTTAGAAAACGCTCCGAGCAAGTCGGCATTTCTTTACAACTTGCTCGGAACCCTCAAACCAAACCAAATCTTGAACCCTATGTGGGGGAGTTACCAGAAAAAATGGTCCGATCTCTACAACAGATCTTGTGCTGATAGAAATATTGAGATTTACCAAGTCTGAATGGAATCGGATTTTAATTTCACGTTTTAGGAGCTTCATGGATATTCAAAATTTAGACCCTTTTGGGGAGGTACTTGAAGAAGTCCATCTTTACAGCAGACTACGTTAATGGAAATATTTAGATGTGCCAAGTCTAAATGGAAAAGGATGTTAATTTCGTGTTTTATGAGCTTCATGTATGTTCAAAATTTTGACCCTTTGTGGGGAGGTACCAGAAGTAGACCGATATATTTCACCTTCACACCAGACCTTGGAATAATAAAAATATTGTGATGTGTATAATTTGAAGACAATCGGACTTTTACATACATTTTATAAGAGATGTAATTATTCAAATTATTCAATTATAATGGGTCAGCATGACCTAGCACTGATGGAAATATTAGGATATTCAAAGTTGGAGCAAAATTGGATTATCCTTTCTGTTTCTGTGCAGTAAATAATTTTCTATTGATCTAAGTTTGATAATAATATTACGATGTATCAAGTTTGGACCAAATCGGATATTCCCTTCGAGAGTTATCGTGCGCACTAGCCCGACAAATGTACTGAAACGGATTTGGTGCAAAGAGACCTAGATCTAAAACCGTTATTTGAGAAGAGGCTCTTTTTGGCCGTATCAAATGATATATACCCTCTGTAGCCATATGGCTTAGGGTATAAAAATAGAATCCCTTAAAAATTCTGTTAAAATCTTAAAAATACTATATTCAGTTCAGGTGTTACCGTTTTTTGGGGTCTATACGAAGACTTGGACCTGCATATGCAATTATATGTCTTAAGCTGTAGTAGCCATTATGAACTTCAAATACGAAATTTGAAACCATTCCGGTGAAAAATGTCGCTTAAGTCCTCAAAATAACGAATATAGGGAAGTACGGTTTTATTGGGGTCAGGCAAAGACTTGGACCTGCATATGCAATTTTCTGTCATATATTGTAGTACCTATTAGGAACTTCAAATAAGAAAGTTGAAACTAAAATCATCAAAATATCGGATATAACGAGGTACCGTTATACGGGGGCTATATAAAGACGTGGACGGCTATACATTACGAACGTGGGGACAATACATGACGAACTATCATTACGAAATTTGAAATGATTCCGGTGAACAATGTCGCTAAAATAATCAAAATACCGAATATAGGAGGCTATAACTTAACGTGAGCCTATGTAGTCAATTTTAAATACCAAAAGTCCTGCAGACAAAACACACATTTGAGTAAAATGTTATCAGCCTACTTCAATTCGTTCGGAAGCTAGAATGATTTCCACAGATGGACTGACGGACGGACGACAGACAGACAGACGGACGAATAGACGGACAGACAGACGGACGATCATCGTTAAATCGTCATAGAGTTTTATGCTGATCAATAATATACACTTTGTAGGGTCTAAAATGTATACACCCCCCCCCCCCCCCCCCCCCTATACTACGGGGGAGGGTATAAAAAGGATCAAACACACCCTAAATAACCCTCGTACTATTATCTGTAATATTACCGATGACACTATACCTAAAATGCAAGAATCACGAGGAATATTGATCAGAATATTAAAAAAAATGTTGAAGTTCCCCCCTCAGCCACCGTTAAAAAGTTACTTTGCGAAGTAAACTTTAAAAACATTTCTTCAATTTTTTGTGTCTACTTTCATAAACTGCTGATTTTTTTTATACTGCACAGTTAATGAAAAAAAAATTCTCAATAATTGCCTCAAAAGCTAATTGACTTAAACAATTTTTGAAAATTAACTGTATATGCATGTTTATTGATGTTTCAAACATGACAAAGAATAAGTGACACAAACGCTAGCGGGCATCGGAATATCTAATTGTGTCCCGTAATCTTCTTTTGAATAAATACAAGGAATTAGGATGGGAATGGGACAATTGTTCGATAACCTAGAACTATTGGACCAAGATAATCAAACTAATTAGTATTTACAGCTTTGATGCAAATGATCCGTTGCCCTTGGATGTCTGAAAAAAGCTATAAAATAATTTACCGTTAAAATGTCCCTTTTCTCATACAACAACTTAATTGAATGAACAGCACAAAACATCTTTTTACCAGTCTGGGTCATTGGAAATTCTGCAAACTTTAGTCTGTGCATGGTTTATTTACAAACAATGAAATCACACCAACACATCCAAAAGTCATGGCAATACAAACAAATAAGCGGACAATGAACACTAATCGCCAAAACACTAAATATTTTGTGACCGGGTGTGGGGAAATGCGATTCAGGTGAACCGACATCAATTGAAAGAGGGCGCATATATTCCATTTAAGGGGAACAGGGGACAGCGGCGACGACGACGACGGCAAAAGCAACCGTAAAAGAAAAACAAAGGTGTGTATTGTTGTCGTCCAAAAGAGTGGGAGAGCCATTGAAAAGTTATGCGATTTAAGGTTTAATTGAAAATCAAAGGAAAATCCATGAATGAATGATACCAAGAAGGCAGCAGCGTATTGCTGAAAACATGACGTCAACCAATTGTTTACTTTGGAAAAAATATTCTCTTGGACAAAAATCATCAAATCAAAATTAGAAAGGTGAAATCAGGGATTTTAATTTACCATCTCCATTCTTGTGTCTTCTTTATGAATATGGTAAAGATGCCTTCGAAGAGTAGCAGCAGCAGAGGACAACTAAGACTCCAGTACATCATGTCATCTTTGTTCTTGACCACCTGCCAAATGGCAATGATACTGTGGGCACTGAAAATTATACGGGTTAATGTTGCCTTAATTGTCGATATGATTTTGGCCATTTTTTTTTTTTTGTTTGTCGATGTTGTTTTAAGTTTTTTTTTTGTTAAGATTTTCCTCTGAGAAGCATTGAATTCCGTTTATTTTGTCATTTAAATTTAATTTTTTTCACACTCCTCGAGTCACCAGCACCACCACCAGAGTAACGAAATTTGACTGTTTACCGTTTAAACGAACTTTACCGTTAGAATTACAAACCGCAACTAAATCCAAAGACTAATCATTCTATTAATTTTCACTAAAAGGATCTCTCCTGGAAGGTTCATCGTTTAAAAATATGAAACGTTACAGTGTTGTCTGAAAATTTGTTGTTGTGTCGATGATAACCGGTTATTTGAAGTTGTTGCAACTATTTGTATTGAGGTAGTGACTAGGCCGCTATGATATTAGTTGCAAGAAGGCAAGCAACTGATAATTAGAAAAGAGCGTGTAAATTCGGTGTAAATGTAATCGTTTCTGTAACACCTCGAAATATCCATTTTAGACCCTCTATTGTCTGTCCGTTGATAAAAGGGACATTAGTTTTCACAGGAATTATATCAAATTTTAAATTTGAAGTTCGCAATGGGTACTTTCTATGACAGAAAATTACCTTTACAGATCCATGACTTCGTATAACCCCCCATTTTACGGTAACTCCTAATATTTGGTATTTTCACAATTTTAGCCACATTTTTCAACGAAAGTATTTTAAAGTTGATGTTTGGTGTTGACAATAGATATCAAATTCTCTAACAGAAAATTATCTATATGGGCCCACATTTTCGTACACACACACACATTTGACAAGACTTTTCCAAATGGTGGAGGGTATTAAAAGATCGGTCCAGCCGAAGTTACTGGACAACCGTTTAGCTGTCAGAGAAACACATGATTTTAGCGACATTATTTATCGGAATTATTACAAATTTCGTATTTGAAGTTCGTAATGGGTGCTACAGCCTATGACAAAAATTTGTTTATGCAGGTCCACGTCTTCGTAAAGCCCCCATATGACGATACCTCCCAATACTCGGTATTTTTATGATTTGTGAGATATTATTCACCGGAATTGTAACAAATTTCGTATTTAAAGTTCGTAATGGGTACTAAAGCCTACGACAAAAAAAACGTATGTAGGTTCACGTTTTCGCATATCCCCCGTGTAACGGTACATCCCGATATTCGATAGTTTGATGAATTTAGCGACATTATTCACCGGAATTGTTTGGTATTTGAAGTTAATAACGGGTACTACAGCCTATGACAAAAAAAAAATTGTAAGAAGGTTCACGTCTTCGTAAAGTCTCCATATAAAAGTTTTCATTTCAGTGGTAGTTTCCGGAAGTTTTTTGAAATTGTTCAAGTTCCTTCGGATCTTGGCTGCTTTTTTACTTGTTAATTTTTATTTGCTCCGAAAAAATCATTTATAGATTACGCAAGTTTGTTTGTTTTTTTCATAAACAAAACGATAGGTAAATGACTTTCTAGTAAATCGCTTTGAAGTCAGTCTGCAAAATTATATCTAATTTTTTGAGGTACTGGGTACCTCTACCCAGTCTTCACTCGTAGTAACTTCTTCCGCTTCTATTTCGCTAACGGTATTTTCGATTTCAACTGTTATGCTGTCATCCTCAGTACTTACATATTGATCACTAAAGACATATTCATCAGGAAGAATCGTAGCCGTCTCTAATTAGCATTTGTAAGTCTAGTTAAGGGGTGCAATCTTCGTCGTCAAATTCAAAAGAGTCGAAAATATATTTATTATACCCTACATTGTGTCGACCCTATTCCATGCGATTTCAATAAAAATATGGATTCTGGGATGTTTGCTAGGTCGAATTTGATTCTAAATTTGCCAGAATATTTTTAACTATGAAACCGTGATAAGGAAACTTAAAAGATCGGATAGTTCCTTGATCTAGTGGCTAGCATACTGAAGTTGTATTTGAAGGTAACCATATTATATCGTTATGTTCTATAACTCAATGTCGCGAAGATGATATGCGTTATCCAAAAAAATAGAGCTATCTTTCGCTTCTCTTTCCCCATTTTACGATCTACAGGGTGAGATGAAAAAACCGCAACCAACCTCAGACTGCTGTCATTTCTAAGCCACTCGTCCGACAGCCGTTAAAATTATTCCAGTGGCAGCTCATTATATTGATTACAAGCGTACAAAAGCATTTTGGTGAGAATTTTCCAGAAAAAAAGTTATTCGTGATGGAATTCAAGCGTGATAGTGTGATTTCTTTATATTTGGCTAGAAAACCACAAGTGGCTATCGTTAGAGCACTTCAGCATTTAAATGTGAATAAATATTTTGTGTCTCGTACCATCGCTCGTTACCGTGATACTTGTAGTGTACCGACCTACCGACGTCAAGGAAGTGGACGGTAGAAAACAGCAACATCAGCAGAAATGGTTCGAAAAGTAAAGAAGAGACTTGATCGAAACCCGCGTCGCGGTGGCCGAAAAATGGCTCGTGAGCTGAATATATCGCAATATTCCGTTCGGCAAATATTGAAAAATGCGCTCGAGGCAATGCCATTGAAATTCCAAAAAGTGCAAGAACTTTCACCGTAACAGAAAGAAAATAGACTCAAAAGAGCTAAAGAGTTGCCTTGCTCGGCCGAAATTGTGAACTTCCGAATTTGGTTTCCTCCGATGAGAAAACAGCAGTTTGTAAACAAACAAAATGATCGTGTTTACTTGCCAAAGAGGTCAGCTGAAAAAGTGCACCTTCGGTTGACCACCAGAACTCAATCGCCGGCCATGGTGATGGTGTGGGCCGCCATAGCAGCCAATGGTGGCTCTCAGCTCGAATTAATCGACCGTGGCTTTAGAATAAATGCCGAATATTATCGCAAAAATGTTCTGGAGGGTGTATTAAAGCCATGGGCACGCCGGTCTCAGCACGCGCCACCCAAGAATGGTTACAAAATGAGGTTCTTCGCCCCCAAAATCTCCGGGTACCAATCCGTTGGGCTATTGTGTCTGGAGTATTTTAGAAAGCAAGGTTGGCACGTTTGAAGGTCATAATTCGTGACAAAGGTGGCGAATTTGAACAAATTTAAACTTATTCAAAAATTTCATGGTATTTCCGATATTTCATTCAAAAAAAATTAAAAGGAAATGTAGAAATTATGGCGTTTGACTTTGTTGCAGTTCTTTTATCTCACCCTGTATATGCCTGTTTGTTGATGTTTTACTCATAACGAAGAATAAGAGACATCAACGCAAGCGTACATACTTGCCCGTCTATGATCTTCATTCACAATTTTGTGAATGTATTCGGAAAATTTCTATAACTCAGCTGTCAAAACTGATGCCCCAATTTTGTGTAACATATTATTACGTTATCAACCACATATATTTTTTTCAATATCTGAGCCTAACGTTTTGAAAATGTCAACAATCAGTTCCATTGGAAGTAGAATTTGATTAATTACGTAAGATATAACAGAGCTAGTAACAGAGATCTACTAGCAGCCGAGCAATAGTTACAACTGTTTCTTTATTAATCCTTTGAATTACACTATTCTCAGATTGTATGGAGTCGAGAAACCGAAAATCCGGTTACTTTACTCTGTACACTATCATTGAACATATCATACAGGTAGGGCATTAAATAGTTACTTAAACCACACGAGCCATAAAAAATTATACACTTCCAATATACGCTTAAACGTTTCTCTCATTTTTTTCATATCCCCCAGTATCTGCTCGAAGACAAACATCAAGGAAAACCACAGACATTGTTTATCCAGGCCACCACCCCTCTTTTCTTTTTTCAGCCATTTCGGCAGGACATCAACACAATGCCCAAGTATTAGCACCACATTAACGTCTCATTAGTGTCATGAGTGAGCGAAAGTTATTAAAACGCGGCATGCTCACAAATGTGCGAATGAACCTTGGCCGCCAAAAACTTCAACGGTGAATGTGATTTTTACGGGACGTGCACACCCACTCCCATTTTCGTTATCCTGCAAGCATGTTTGCACTGCAATATTAAGAAAGAACACTCAGTTCAACCATGACACATATTTGAGGTGTAGTATTGGTGCAGCAGTTAGCCACGTTAAGTTGTCATCAACCCTCGCAAATGGCCATAAATTTCAGCGCTGTGAAATCTGCCTTTTATTCGTCGAGGATGAATTTGTGTCATCATTTGGTTGAAGAAGTTTTTAGTCCCGTTGACAGTGTGGCGTTCAGCTGTTGATTTATAAGAGCTTGGAACACAGTCACACAACCACATGTTGCATTTGGATTAATAACATTTACTTGAGTGGTTGAAAGTGAAGTATTGCAAAATTAATTCTGTCTTTCTGAAAGTTACTGATTAAGAGATAAAGGTGAAGAAAACAAGTTAATAAATATCAGTCAGCTCTACCGACAGACGCCATTGTTAAGTGTTGACCCTCTATGAAGTGGGTTCTGAGGGAATAAGCCAATATTGTATATTTCGTATCGAACCCAAATAAATACGATATAAATATGGGGCAATTTGGAAACAGGTTGGTAACTTCCTTTACTTTACATGACACAGGGTAAGTGTGCCTAAGTTCGGCATGTCCCAGTAGTCGGCACTTTTTATTTTTAAGCCCAAATAAATGAAACTATTATAACTAAATGTATTTTGTTTACTTCAAATATATTGTCAGCTATCTTTGTGTACAATATCGCTAAGAAAAGATGATTTATTCTAATAAAAATTAATTTTTTGTCTGTGAAGGTTCTCAACAATCCATATTATTAAGAAAAGTACAATAAAGACGTCGAATCAGTTTAACTAAACAAAAATATTATATTTAAATGAATTAATTTATTATTATTATTATTATTAATTATTCTTACAAAAAAAATTTGGTTTGCCGACTGTTGGAACATGCCATACCGACAATTGACAAGTGGTGCCGACTACTGGGAAAAAAGCATTGTTTTAATAAAACTACAAATTTATGAAATTTAATAAAAAGTTATTAAAATTTTATTTATTATTGCAAAAACTATACAA